TGTTGTCTGTCATGTAAAAGCATAAGTGTGTTTGGGAGTGGGAGCAGAGACAGTTTCCCTGGTTCTTCCTTGGCAGTCATGACCTGCCGAAGTAGAAACTAGAAATGAGACTTTTTAATAGACAGTGATCTCACTGGAGCATAGAGGAGGAGAGAGTCTATGTTAAACAATGCAGGGTATGAGCTAGGTCCTGGGCAATGGCTAGGTATTGTGGTTTCATTAGAGAGGAAAACAAATAGACTGTTCCTACCCTCAAGACAGAGGTAGATGCATATGGCTAGAATACAGAAAGAGTTGTTGGGAAAGTTATATTTAATATTTACACCTAAGTATTTATTTTTTCAGTGATAGCAGATAGTATTATCCTTTTAATTTTAGTGTCCACATGTTCATTGCTAGTATGTAGAAAAACAATTGTTTTTTATTTTTATCTTATATCCTGCATCCTTGCTAAACTCACTAATTAGTCATAGACTTTTTAAAAATATATTCCTCTGGATTTTCTACCTAGACAGTCACATCATTTGCAAATACAGATTGTTTTATTTCTTTCTTTCCAATTAGTGTGTTTTTTATTTCCTTTTGTTGCCTCTTGTGCTGACTAAGACTCCCAGTACTTTACTGAATAAGAATGGTGAGAGTGGACATCGTTGACTGTTCCTTATCTTGGGGGGAAAGTGTTCAGTCTTTCACCATTAAGTTTGTTCTTAGCTCTAGGGTTTTTTCCAAAGGTCATTTGCACTTTGCTGGTATGGGTGTGGATAGGACATGAGATTTTCTGTGGTGTTTGGCTGAAATAGAATAGTTATTATCTACAAGTTTTCTGCCTTGCTGGATGGAGCAAGCTTTATTTTATTATTTTTGCCTATGCCTATTGACATTGCCAGGTCACTGGCTTCTTCAGTTTCAAGTCATAGATATGTGAGGCAACAAGAAAATGCGGGGAACTCTTCACAGTGTTCTTCCTGGGGTCCTGAGGTCCCTAACAGGTCTGCCTTCATCACTCTGTTTTTCAGAGTCTTTTCATGTTTGTTTTATATATAATGTCCAAGTTTTTAGTTGTGCTTAGCAGGTGGAATAGAGAAAAGCATGTCTATTCCATGTTCCTGGAAGTGGAAGTGGTTGGGAGAAATTAGAGAACATAGGTTGGAGCCAGTTTGTGAAGGGCCCTAATAGCAAGAGTTGGACTCTATACATGGTAGAAGCGCCAGTGGAGGTTCAACTTCACAACAGTGTGGAGGAATAGTTGGGTTGGGGGAGAGTCAGGGCAACCTGGAGGCTGTTGCCTGGGTCCACGGGGGAGATAATGAGGTTCTAGACTATGACAGTGGACATAGGGCAGAAGGGAGATGAGGCAGGTCCACATGGGCAGTGTGGAAGTGCGAACAAATGAGGTTGAGTTTGCAGCTTCTAGTGTGGGCAACTAGCTATGAGACTGGGAAGGCAGGGGAGGAGTGTAAGTACAACAGAGGGGGTGTATTCTAGGCATTTTCGAGCACATCAGGAAATTTGGACTAACCATGCTTCCCTTCAGGGAAGGCTCCACGGAGGAAGCCTGACTGCTGCGTACAAATCCAAGAATGTGCATTCTGGGCAGAGGAAACAATATGGGAAAATGCACAGATACAGGAAACAGCATGGTGGGCCTGCTGAGACTGCCGCTAGCTGAGGCATAACAGGGGACTTGCTGGTTCCATAACTGGGAAGGAGGCTGTAGGAGTTCACAAAATGGAGAATTTCATACGGGCAGTGATGCTGTCGGTGGTCTGTTTGGCTCCTTGCCTTCTCTGTTCTCTGTGTGTTTGCATCAGTCTTTTCCACTACAGAGAGGCCACCCTCCCTGTGGACTGCCCTGCTAACAGCCCCGGTTAACAGTTCCAGTGAAGGGAGAATTCCTGTCTCTGCATCCATATATCAAGTCCAGAGGGAGGTTCTGATTGGCCCAGCTTGGGCCATGTGCTTGTCCTTTTGGACCAGTCACTGTTGCTAGGGGATGGAGTATTCTCACCTAGGCTGGATCATTTGCTCATCCCTTTTGGGAAAAGCAAGGTCCTTCTAAGAAGAATGCAGAAAAAAAGCATCCAGGGGAGATTTAAAAAAAGGATATTTACCATGGCTTACTGTAATATGTCCTTAAAGAATGTATAGTATGGCAGCATAGTAACTTTTTAGAGGATTAAGCAGGGGCCTTGATCAAATTCAGGTTTACTTAAAATCATCCCAGACACTCTATGAGATTGTAGTTGGAAGAAGTAAATGGCTAGAAGTGGAGAGACTGGTTAGGATGCTGCTGTAGCTCCAAGGAGAACTGATGAGACCTTGGTTAATTCATTTGGATTTCACCACCGGCCAAAGCATCAACAAGGTGGTGGAAGGGAGAGAGAGACTAGAGACAATCAGGCACACAGGGCTTGGTGAGCAGCTGGAGGGAGCAGGGGAAAGAGGGGCTTAAGGAGGATTCGCTACCACCACCAGGGGGGCAATGGCTGTTCTCTGGAAGGCTAGCTTTATCTTTGGAAACTAGTTATTAAGTGGTGGCAGACTCAACACATCTTATTTCTTCTTGAGAAATGTGAGTGTTGTTGGCCTCTTGTGTGCACTAACTCAAAAAGGAAGCTGATTGATTGTATTTTTCTCCTTTTAAAAAGTTTCCTTTCTTTAAGAATTCAGATAGGAGATGTAGTCAAGACTTTCAGTCAAAAATAGATGAATGGGAAGAGGTCACTGGCGTGAAGTTCCTACCTCCCCCACCAGCCTGTCCCAGGGCTACTTTAGAAACCTCCATTCCTTTGGCACTGTCCTTGCTAGGAAGACTCTTAAGGATTTTAAGGAAACAAAAAAGATATAATCTGACATATGCTCTCACAGAGTCCCTCCCTTCTTGAGACTGGACTAAGGGTGGAGGTAAGAATGACATCAAGAAAGAGTAGAAGCAGGGACACAGTTAGAGGCTATTGCAATAATCTAGGATGGTAATAGTGGAGGGGGTGGGAAATGGCCATATTCTGAATATATTTTAAAGATAAAAATCAGTTTTGATGAGGACTAGATATGGAGTAAGAGACAAAGAGAGGAGACAATGACTTCAAACCTGTTGGCCTGGGCAACTGGAAGACCATTGGATTAAGTTGAGATGGGTAAGATTCTGGGAGGAGCAAGTCTGGAGGAAGGTCAAGGGGTCTGTGTTAGACATGTTAAGCTTGAGACATTGAACATGCCTTATATGGCCCTCTTGTCCACTTGATATCCTACTTGGAGCAGGCAATGAGAATTCAGAAGAGAGGCGCAGGCTTGGAGAGAAATCTGGGCACCATCAGCATATATCTGACATTTGAATCCCAGAGACTAGATGTGATCACCAAAAGGGTGATTAAAGGTATACAGAGAATAGATGAGAACAAGCATGGAGCCCTGGGACACTCTGACATTACGAGGTAGGGATGTACGGAAGAAACAACAAAGGGAAAGAACAATCAGTGAGATGGGTAGAAAATCAAGAGCACTATCCTGGAAGCCAGCTGAAGAGAATAATCAAACAAGACAGAATGATTAACTGGTAGCAAAAGTTGTAAGATGAGGACTAAGACCTGCCCATTGGATCCAGCAACATGGAGGATAGGTCTATGTGTGCTTTTGGACCCCAGTTTAACCTTTCAAATAAGTCATTGTTCCTGCCTGTAAGGAGAATACCATTGTGCAAAAAGGGTCATTTAAGATTGACTGAAATAAATCTAAGGTATGAAGATAGTACCAGGGGAGTCCAGCAGAAGGCAACAGAACTTCTGGCTTTTATGGGGAGAGTTGAGGTCAAATTCACTGATGTCTTCATTTGTTCTTTCATTCATTCATTCCACAAATATTTTTGGGTGCCAGGGACTGGGAGGAAGGGAGATGGTGGAGTTATTGTCAAAAGGTATACATTTTCAGTTTTGCGGATGAGAGGAGTTCTGGAAATGAATGGAGATGGTTGCACAACAATATGGATATATTTAATGGCACTGAGCTGTGTACTTAAAAATGGCTAAGCTTGTCTATTCTGTTTTGTGTACTTTATCGCAATAAAACAATCAGAGAGGAAAAAACCCCTCTTATCCCCCACCACCACCACATCATGAACTTAGTTGGGAATATGACATTTGAAATGGGTGGCATTTCAGTAGAAGGAAATAATGTGGAGAGAAACAGAGGAAGACCTCCGGCCAGAGGGAATGCTGAGAGGGAAGGGACTGGCTATCAGTCCTTCGTGCCCAGTTTGTAGGGTTTGGTGGGGGAGACCGTGCAAGCTGAGCTTGCAGCATCAGGTTGGGCCAGTTGGTGCAGGCCTGGCAGCCAGGCTGTAGAATTGGGCTCGCCTTCTTAGATTCTGGGAGCCTCTAGAAGTTCCTGCCCAGGGGAGTGTCATTCCAAAGGTGTACATTTAGAAGATTAATCGCATTAATCCTTCCTGTTAACCCATTGTCTATTAAAAGCTGTGGCATTGAGACATGTGTTTGTGTGGTGAAAATTGTAGGCCAGCAGAAAGTTAGATTCCCAGGCATGTGTTAGTGAATTGAGTACGTTATTTTTCTACCCATTTTACAAATATTTACTGAGGACTATCTAAATGTCTAAATGAGGACTATCTGTAGTGTGCTAGGCAGTGGGTGTAAAGGAAGGAATGAATTTACTAAATCTCTTCTCTTGATAAGCCTACAGTGTAGGGAACCCCATTCCTAAATAAGATATCATGCTGCATTGTACCACAGTGTTGCTGTAAACATCGCACCAGAGTTCCAGGGGAGCTGAGAGGAGAGTGTGCCTTGCCTGCCTGGCCACTGGAGATGCTTCCAGGGAGAGACTGTCCAGTGGGTTTGAAGGATGAGCAGCACTTTCTAGGCAGAGAATCGGAGATGGGCATCCTGGGAGGGTGGTAAATCAAAACTTGTTGGGAGTTGTTAAGTTTAAAGAAAATGTATAAATATTCTCTTTTAAAGCTAAACTCTTATTTCATTGGCTTTTAGGTGATACTGGCTAGAGTGCATGCTTTTGGACCGAAGCTCAACTTTTCAAATGTGGAATCCTAGGCCTTCATCGGTAAGTTTGTTTGATGCCTTCTTACCAAATTAGGCTCTCGCGGGTCAGTAGTTACCATTGCACTGCTCTGTGGAAGTTACCAAGCCTGGCCGCTGGAGAAGCCCACAGCAGAGGTGGAAAGGGCCCACAGGAGCAGTGGGCTCCCAGTGCAGACTTCTGCGGTAGCTGGGGAGAGGGCGCCACAGGAGGCACACCCCAGGTTGTAGGGGTGAACGCAGCTGGCCTCGTGGAGAGGCGGGCGGAGCTTTGGCTTTGTTTGAAGGAAAAGTCCAGGGAGGAGAGAAATAAGATTTTTGGGCTTGAGACCGTGAGTGTAAAATATAATGAAGGTGGGCTCAGCAATAGACCCGCAGGAACAAAAACTTCATCAGAAGGAGTCATGGGCAAGAACTTTGGAAGGATCTGCTATGTCTGATTTTTATAGACCAGGGTCAGCAAACTTGTCTATAAAGGATAAAATGGTAAATATTTTTGGGTTCATGGGCCCTGTGGTCTCTGTCATAGCTACTCAACTCTGCTATTGAAGCATGAAAGGAGCCATAGAGAATACATAAATGATGGGTGTGGTTGTGTTCCAGTAAAGCTTTATTTACAAAATAAGTAGTGGGCTAGATTTGGTCTGTGGGCTATAGTTTGCCCACTCCCTTTCTAAGCCCTGAATACTGGGCTAAGGCACTTGGACTTTTTCTTGTAGGCCATGGGGAACCATTAAAGTTATTTTGAGCAAAGAAGTGAAATGGCCGGAGTGACAGGTTAGGAACATTCATCTGATATCTGGACAAGAGACATGGGCCCTATTCAAAGTCAGCAGCAGCGATCCAGGCATGAGGTCATGTGGTTAATAGTGGTTACAATAAGAGCAAAGGGCCAATCAAAGAGCTATTGCAAAGGGAGAAGGACAGGATTTACAGTCTATGCTTTAAATCCTAAAGCATAGGATTTAAAGACAGGAGCCAAAGAGGATGAAAATGTAAACTTGAGAGTTTACAATGTTACCATTGTCAAAAATGTGGATATCGGGTGTGGAGAAGAGTGGTTGATGTGTCTGGTTTTTGACCCGTTGAATTCGAGGTAACAGTGGTTCATAGGAAATGTCCCGTAGACAACTGGAAATGCAGGGCTGAAGCCTGGGCTCCGAAGGGCAGGCGTGGAGATGTAGAAGGGGCGCCATCGGATTACTTAAGTTCTCCCCATAAGGAGCAGAGGGCTGAGCCCTGGGGGTGCAATAACTCTGGGATGGAGAGGAGGTGGAGGAGATCCAGAGGCCAAGGAAAAGAGTGTTCCAGGAAGGGAAGACGACAAGGGAGAAGGGATCTGAAGGGAGGCTGCCAAATTTGTGACAAGGTGGTTACATTTGGCCTTGAGGAATGTGATGTGTGATGCCCCAAGAGGGGAAGAGGAGAGGAAAAAGTGGGGAGGAAGCCGGGTTGCAAAGGATTGGACGGAAATGAGGAGTAAGAAAGGAATCAGAGACATTAATAACGTAGACCACGCACAAGGGAGACACATAAGATTTCAGTGTTTGCATATCAAAATAACTTTTTCTTTAGCTTTGAGGCAGGCAAAGCATGCTGTGACCAGTTCTCATTTCCTTCTCTGGAAACAAGCTGTGTTTCGGAGTTTGCATATACATTGGGCTTGCATTGTATTCTTATGCTCCCTTTGAGGTGTGGTGTTCATAGCTCTGCCACAACTTGCACCACAGAATCCAGCCCATGTTTGGACTCTTGCCATGAGACAAGATGTGATCTGTTCGGGAAATACTTGCATTTGGCTAAGTTTGGAGGACCAAGAAATTGAAATAAAACGTCTTACTGCAGAGTCTGCTCAAGTGTGGTAATTCATTCAATTAGATATTAATTTATACTCTGATTATTTCAAATGCACCTTCTTTAGCTTGAATTCTAAGTAGCTTTTGGCTTGGTTTATGGAAATATAGAAGTTGAAAGATAGAATAATAAAAGGAACAGGTGTCACTGGTTTAGAGCCACCATTTATCGAACACTCACTGTGTACCTGGTACAGTGCTGAGTGCTCTGTAGCCGTCACTTTAGTTTATCTTTGTGACAACCTGTGACTTGGGAAGTAGTATTTTCATTTCAGCAATAAGGAAATCAAATCATAGGTTGAATAACCTGCCCAAGGTTACAGGGAACTTGAACCCAGCTCTATCTGACCCTTAGTTTATGCCACTCCCTGTTTTCTCCCATCTAAGTCTAGAATTTCTCCTCCTACGTACATAAAAGTACTAGAGACAGATTGAGTTCTTCCGGTTAAATATTCAGAGACTCTAGTGGGTGTTGCCACTTCCTAGGCGTCTACTAAAAGGGTGGAGGGAGTGTGGGATCTCTGGAAGAGACTAAGACCAAACTTCACACTTACTTTAACTGTTTCACTAGATAAAGTTTTCCTTTAGTTGGAGAAGGTGGCAGCCTTGGGCTTGAAAAGGAAACATGACAGTCAGATTCCAGTCCTAGCTCTAAGGCAATTATAATCTACTTTCTGTTTAAATGCTTGGTATTTCTCTGCTCACCTCCAACTTCAAGCTTTGAAGACAGGCTCCTATTTTGTCTTGTTTAGTTCTGTGCCCCCAACATGTACATAGTATCAGACCTGTGGCTTGTGCTCACTAAATATTAGTTGCTTCTAATGAGCCAGGCAACACGGGACAAGGTGCCTAATCTCAGTGTGCCAGGCACTGCTCTCAGCACTGTGGTAATAGAAGTGACGCAGGACCAGGGCTCTGTCCTCATTGGGCAGACATCGTGGTAAGGGAGACAGACAGCAAAGACGTATGCGATGTGCAGTGATGGAAGGTCAGGCAGGCCTGATAATGTTCTGAAGTAAAATAAAGTGAGAGAAAGGGGCGGAGGGTGATAGGGCTGATAGTTTGGGTAGGGTCATCAGGAAGTCCTCACCAAGAAATTAAGTGAGACAGTGAGGCTGTTGGGAAAAAATGTCATCATAATGCTACTGAGGAGGTGACAGATATGTCAACCGAGCCTTCGATGCATTGGCTTAGTTCCTTCGCTTGGCTGTGGTTGCTAATGCCCAGCTAACCGTTCCCCTCAGCAAGGGCTCCCTCTTCAGATTCGTGTCTCTGGCCAAGCAGAGCACTCCCTTCCCCTCCTTGTTCTGCTCACTCTCCTGCTCTGGCTTGCCCTCTTCCAGTTCTCCTCCAGCCTCAAAGACCTCAGCCTCTGCAGTCTGCTTTTCCAGTTTTCTTTTCTTTGTCCTTAGCTTAGTAAGGTTTTGCTTGGTCCCTTTCATGTGTCACCTTAAGTGTTCTCCCAGGATGAGCTCATCCACTGCTTCTGAAGTCACCCAGATCTACATATTCAGCCCAGAGCCTCCCCCCAGCCCGCACTCCTAGCTGCTGCCCCACAGACACCTCAAACTCCTCCTTCCCCTGGTGCCAAATGTGTCTCTCTCTGTCTGCTGCCTATCTTGGGTGGGACTGCACCCCCTCAGTTCTGTCCTGTGGGACTGTAGGAGTCATCCTTGGCTTTGTCCTTTTCTCAATTGTCATCATCCATCAGTTACCACATCCTGAAGAGCCATCTTTCTAATTTGTCAGCTCACTCTTTCTCCCTCTGTACTCCTTCATTTAGGGGCTCATCACATGCATTTTTTAAACAGCCTCTTCATTGGTCTTTCTGTGTCCATCTTTGCCCTCCCTCGTTCCACCCCCACACTCCTATCAGCATGATGTTTCTAACTCACACATCTGATCATGGTTTTCTTTTGCTTAAAAGTCCCCAAGGGCTTCTCATTGCTTCTAGAATAAAACCTAAGCTCTGTCAGCGGGCCTGTAATCCTTTCATAATCTGGCCTTTGGCCACCTTCCTCATTTCACTTTTTCCCTAACCCATATTTCTGAGCTCAGCCCAACTTCCCAACAGCCATAGCCTTGGGGTGCCTTGGCCGGTGCTGGGCCCTCTCCTGGGAATGACCTGCCCCTACTCCCCATGTTGGTAACTCAGCTCAAGTTTCCATTCTTCTGGACACCTTCCTTCCCCACCCTGCACTTCTCTGTGACCTGGAGATGACCTTCCTCCTGGCTCCCAGAACACCCTGCATTTCTCTCTCTCCCAAAGCACTTATCAGCATAACTGTTGATTTACTTACTATCTGTTATGCTCAGTAAACTGAGCTCCTTAAGGGTGAGGCGCGCGCGCTCGCGTGCTCTCTCTCTCGCGCTCACTCTCTCTCTCTGGGTTCTTGGTGCCAGCATGGTGCACCTGGCTCAAGAAAGTGTTTGTTGAAAGAGTGAGAGTAGCAAAGTCTGTTTGTGCAGCCAAACAGCAGATTTATAACATAATCAAATGTATTTGAAATCAGAGGTTTATTGGCCATTGAGTTTGATGGCTTCAGTTGTGAGTGCAACATAGGTTGTTCTGCACTTGGGTTTGTGGCTGTCTGTTGTGTCTCACAGTATGCTGAGGCCTTGGGAATAGACCTTCCCTGTATCCTTTACTCCTGACTTTAAAAACAAAAACAAAAACAAAAAAGCCCTCCTCCCCTGGTTGGTGTGACTCAGTGGGTTGAGCACCAACCAGCCTGCAAGCCAGGAAGGTCACCAGTTCGATTCCTGGTTAGGGCACATGCCTGGCTTGCAGGCCAGGTCCCTGGTTGGGAGCATGCGGGAGGCAGCTGATCTATGTTTCTCTCTTTCTCCCTCCGTTCCGCTCTCTCTAAAAAATAAATAACATCTTTAAAAAAAAAAAAAAACCCTGTTATTGATGGGATAGTAATAGCTATTCAAAATGAAAAGTCATCCATCAAGAAATGCTCAGGAATGAGATCCACCCAACTTTATCCTGGATGAATCCCAAATTTTCTAAATTAGCAAAAATAATGATTCTTGCTAACTGCTGACAGCCTTTTCCCCTCAGTTCAGCTGAGCATGCTTTTCTGGCTGGAGCATGAGGCTAGCTGGTGGTCCTTTGTGGAGGGGCCCAAGAGCCTCTTTATCTTCATGAAGCCCTCAGTGATTCTGA